TTGGTCAGTACATTCTTCTGCACCTGTCCAATTTCCTGCCTGGAACTTTTTTCTTCAAATTTCCCAATTTCCTTCTTAATCACATGCATTATGGTTTTTTGCAGGTTGTAGCTATTAAGCAACTTGATAAAACTGGGATTCAAGGGGAAAAGGAGTTCCTTGTGGAGGTTCTTATGCTTTCTCTTTTGCATCATCCTAATCTTGTCAATTTGATTGGTTAGTGTGCTGAAGGGGATCAGCGCCTTCTTGTCTATGAGTACATGCTGCATGGATCCTTGGAAGATCACCTCCATTGTAATATTTTCATGCCTTCTCCTCTAATCGTGTCAAAGAATTTGTTTATTAGAAATGATTTCACTGGTTCTATCTAGACCTCCAGAATGGGTCTCAAGGACACTTATTCACTATAACAGCTTCAAAACCCTTTTTTAGTTTCTTTTCCTACTAGTCCAGTTCTAATTTTCTGACAGTTAATATCATCACTATGTTTGAGCATCTTTTCAGAAACTTTTTTCATTTTCTTTTCCTAAACGCCTTTGTTTCTGCATCTTTCAATAACTTAAATAGATAAGCAATGATTTTTGCAGATCTTATATTCGACCAGAAACCTTTGTACTGGAATACAAGAATGACAATAGCTGCTGGTGCAGCCAAAGGCTTGGATTATCTTCACAGTGAAGCCAATCCTCCTGTTATATATAGAGACTTAAAACCATCTAACATACTATTAGGTGAGAGCTTCAACCCAAAACTCTCTGATTTTGGGCTTGCAAAATTTGGTCCAAGCGGAGAGAAATCATATGTTTCCACCAGGATAATGGGAACCCATGGATACTGTGCCCCCGAGTACCTCGCTAGTGGAAAATTGACCATGAAGTCTGACGTTTTTAGTTTTGGGGTAGTCCTGTTGGAGCTGATAACTGGACGCAAAGCTCTTGACGATAACCGTGCTCTGTGAAGAACGAGTCCTAGTTGATTGGGTAATACTTCACATAATCTAGACTACCATTTGGCTGAAACTGTTTGACTTCATGGTTACTTCTCAAAGAAATGTCATTTATACTTGGTCATTCAAAGTTTCATTAGTAAAGTCAGCTTAAAAGTCACTACATACTACACCTCATCTAGAAGCAGCCAACTTCTAATGGGTTTTCTTTAGTAGTCTCTTTAAGGATTAATATCTAACTGATGTATAACTGTAACTATGGCGCTACTCTTAGTACTGATCTGAATATCATGGTCACTGAATTCAGTTGCTTTTTGATTTGCCGAGGCTTGCAAAAAGTTTTTTTTTTTTTTACCTGATAGCACCCTGACTTGAACAGGATTTTTTTGCTGAATATGTGCTTCTAAATGCGTCTTGGTGATTGAACAGTAATTACAGAAATGCAATTAGACATAAACTTGAAGTGCAGAATATTTACATTTGAAGTGGCTAAGTGAGAGCACAAGGCATATATGCATTTTTCTGCAGTACTCGTGCTGAAGATTGCATGCATTTTGAATTTCAATGTGGGAATGATCCTAGAATTCAATTAGATTGATTTGTTACTCCTTGTTAAAGATAGTTTCCAGAAATGAGTTTTCTGACATATATATATATATATAATTTTTTTTTTTGTAGGCACGACCCATTTTGAAAGATGGAATGAACATTTTGAACTTAGTGGATCCACTGCTGAGAGGTCACTTTTCCAAATCTACCTTGAAGAAAGCTCTAAAGGTCGCCTTCATGTGCATCCAAGGAAATGCTAATTCCAGACCCTCTATTAGTGATGTGGTGCTAGCTCTGGATTATTTGACTTCCCATCCATATAACCCGAATGAAGCTAAAAGGGTTAGCGTCAAAGAGCCTGAGAACAATGACTCTCCAAAGGAAACAACCAGGATGTTAGACAGGGATTTTGACGGAGAACAAGCTGTTGCTGAGGCCAAGATGTGGGGAGAGAGTTGTAGAGAAAAAAGACTACAGTGTAGAAAATGCTTCGGATGAATCAAACAGGTAAAAATTCAGAAATGGTTCTTAAATCTTACTTATTTCTATTGTCTTGGAACTTCCAGGAGTAAACAAGTTTCTAACAGGGAAGATTGTATATGTTTAGTTCAAGCGGCAAGGCCTTCCGGCAAACTATATATATAAATTTCCTTTGAAACAATAATGAGTTCAGCATTTCTTTCATAATCTTTTCCGCCAGTAGGGTGCACAAAGTTCAGGTTGGATCATACGTCTGAAGAAATTCTTGGAGTGGCTGCTACCAATGGTATGTGGAAGAGTTAAATTGCTCCAGCATGGCTGAGAACTTGTGGTCATTGTTGAAACTCAGGCTGGGTTTATAACACGTCTCTTCACATAGTTTGATCATCCATAAATCCCTATGGAATTGTGCAAGGACAAACACTAGAGGCCTAAATTTGAACTTTACATGCCTTTGGTTTTTCATTTTTTGATTCTTAGTTAGAATATACAACATAAAGAAACCAAATGGTATACTAGCCAAAATAAAAAGGCAACCAAATGGGGATGGGTTTACATTTGTCCATAATCTAGTGGTTAATACCATTTTAATTCTTATGTATCATAATGTTGACTCCCTCAAAAACAGAACTTCCATAAAAACTATCCGTTCATCTAAATGAAACATCCATACTGATCACACTAATCGGTGTTTTAGGACTGAATTAAGCTTTTACAGGTTCTAAGCTCAGAGGTGAAAAATCTGAATTACTAGTAACTTTGAAAACTAATTATTTCACATTCATCCCAAGATAAAAATGTTGTTGATTAATAAATTTGTTGCCCATGTTTCCAGACATAGAGCATCCCAGTGGCTTGGCTGGCAAGGATGGATGTCTGGCTGGCAAAACTATAGAAACGATAGGTCCCACCGGGAGTCGAACCCAGGTCGCTGGATTCAAAGTCCAGAGTGCTAACCACTACACCATGGAACCATTTTCGTTAAACCATGTTTTCATTTTTAGGGATGATGAATTATTGGACAAACCAATTTGCATCTGCATATACTCTTACTAATGGTGAAAGTGATTGAGCCATGCCTTGTTCATCTTATGCTCGGTTCCAGCTAAACCAATGTGTTAATTTCATCTGATAACAACCGTTTTACAAATTTAATTACGCTTTTAAAGTATGATTAAGATGTAATTTTATGGATTACTTACGAGAAAGATGAGGTTAGAGTTGAACAACTTGCAGCTATACAAAGCCTAAAGGAGAAAAAAAGACCCACTTGACTTGACTTCTGAAAATGCCAATCTTTCATTTTTGTATTCGTTTTTCAGGCGCCTTGCATCATGGCCACGAATTCAACGAGGGTGAATGCAATCATGGCTGTTGCATGAATTTATTAAATATATTGAATTATTCATAGACTATAAAGTCATACTATACTAGTTGAAAACAAAATTATTGTTGAAAGATAATATTTTAAAGTAAATTTATAAGTTAACCGGGGCCGGTCGGGCCTCACATTACGCGGGTTGGTATTTTCGGTTCACCTATCACAACCTGTCCAACTCAGTCACTCCCTCACTGTAGAAGCTCGGAAACAGAGCAATCAATCAAGAAGAAAAAAGACACGGAAGAAAACCAAGCTCATGCCTTGTCGCTGACTCGTCCCTGACTAGCCAGAACTCTATTTACTAGCCCCGCTCTGACTCAGTTCTGCCATGGCCTTCCATTTCTCAACTTAAAAGCTCCTTCCCTTTTTTTTTCTAAAAAGGTAAATTTTTTACTCTTTTCTGAGAGTTCGAGAATAAAAGAAAGATGTATGTGGTGCCACCATCCCAGCGGCCGGATCCGGGTCACATCGGCGGCGGGTTGGGTGATTTACGGGTTTACCAAACTTGGAAAGGCAGCAATGTAAGCTTTTCCTGCTTTTACTATTTTTATCCTTTTCTGGTTTTGGATCTTATTCCCCTTTTTAGAATTCAAGTAGTAATTAAAAAGACAACATTTTTATCTATGAGTTTTGCAGGCAATTAAATTCATGGTTTTTTTTTTTTTTAATGTCTGCAGATTTTTTTATTTCAAGGGAGGTTTATATTTGGACCAGACATAAGATCATTAGGGTTGACCATTTTACTTATAGTAGCTCCAGTGTCCATTTTCTGTGTGTTTGTTGCCAGGAAATTGATGGATGACTTTTCTCATAACTTGGGTATTTCGATCATGGTTGTTGCTGTTGTCTTCACTGTCTATGTAAGTCTCCTTACAATTTCATGTTTGAATGAGTTGCTTTCTTTGGAAGATTTTAGTTACTTGTTAGGAAGATGATGGATATTATGGTCCCACTGAGGTGGGTTTCTAGGAGGATGAACTGGAAATTATCTTTCCTTTAACATTTTTTTTTTCCATTTAATGTTAGTTCATGACATTTACCATTGTGCCTGATGGTTGATAGGCCCCCTTTTGTTCTTGTTTAGATATATTGACTCAAATTTGCAAGGTTTTATGATCATAGCTTATATGGTCTCGTTGCCTCCACTTGTATATTCTCGTGGGGCAGCTGTATTGATCAAGATTGCATTTATGAATGCTACAAGAAAGCGACGGAATTCTTCCACATAAAATAAATTAAAATTTGCAATCTCAATTCTTGCTATTGGTTTGTCCTTAAGGGGTCCTAAGTGCTCAGCTGGTCTCTTGGCTTATAAACCATGCACTTTCATGCTAAGCAATGAGGTCTTTATAGTGTTTGATTGTCTGGATTATTGATGCAAATGACATTCAGAAATGCCTGGAGTGTCAACTAGCCCGATTTTCTGGATGGGTATGGACATGGATACCGTGTTTCAGAAGATTCAAATGTTGTCTTAAATGTACAGACAAAAATTCCCCCTGATGTTAACAAACTTTATCATGCATTTATTAGAGTTTAGGAGAATCTGTGATATCTCTGAAACAGATTTTAAAACTCATAAACATGTTTGTTTCTTCTTTCAGGATTTAGTTCTTCTACTGCTAACATCTGGAAGAGATCCTGGAATAATTCCACCCAATGCACACCCTCCAGAGCCAGAAGGTTATGATGGAAGTTCAGATGTTGGGGCTGGTCAAACTCCACAGTTACAATTGCCACGCATTAAAGAAGTGGAGGTCAATGGAATCAGCGTGAAGATCAAGTATTGTGACACTTGCAAGCTCTATAGACCTCCTCGCTGCTCACACTGTTCAATCTGCAATAACTGTGTAGAACGATTTGATCACCACTGTCCTTGGGTTGGGCAATGTATCGGACTGGTATGTCATCATTTTCTTTAGAATTATGTCCTGTTCTTGAACATCCGAAGAAGGACCCTCTCTCCCATCATTCAAAGGAAAATAAAAAGCATCCATTTTGTGTCTGCATTTCCGTTTCTTTATGCTGCATCATGCTAAATAGTGTTTACAAATTTTAGTAGCACTGGGTGCAGGTCAGATAACACAACTGGCATTGAAGAGGACAGACATTTTTGTTATATTTCTATTCATAGTTCTTCTAGTGGAGGTCATAATTGTACAGCGGAACCTCAAACTGACAAATGTTCAACATGGTCGCATTTACCTTGGAGAAACTCCTTGGGGAGGGCAGTCTTGCTACTGAAACTTATTGTAGTTATTTTGAATTCAGCCATTATGTGACCAATAACTAATAAGCGTGCTAGAAAAAGCCTAAACCAATGGTCTTCATATCCATGTTGGAACTTAGCTTAGCATAAACTTGTTTGTGGTTGCAAAAGTTTCTGATTAATAGTGGGTGAAATTGCTTTGAAATGTGATGTTTTTTTTATTTCCTCTTTCTCATACTATCTACTAATCTCACGGTTATATTCTTTTTATTTGCAGCGAAATTATCGGTTCTTCTTCATGTTTGTCTTCTCAACAACCCTTCTTTGTATATATGTTTTTGCATTCTGTTGGGTCTACATTAGAACGATCATGGCATCAGAGGAGACAACAATTTGGAGAGCCATGATTAAAACCCCAGCTTCCATTGTTTTAATAGTTTATACTTTCATTTCAATGTGGTTTGTTGGTGGTTTGACTGCCTTTCATTTGTATCTGATCGGTACAAATCAGGTAAGATACTCATCCTTCTCTTATCATAATCATGTTGCAAAAACAGAGTCCATTTATATACTGTTACATTACATTATTCGTTAGATTGGTGTAACATTCCGTGTGTTTTGCTTCTGCAGACAACATATGAGAATTTCAGATATCGATATGATCTTAGAGCCAACCCCTATAACAAAGGAGTGGTTGAGAACTTCAAAGAGATATTTTGCTCCCACATTCCCTTATCCAAGAACAACTTCAGGGCAAAGGATCCCAGGGAACCTGTGTTACCAACACGACCTGGTGGTTTCATGAGTCCAAATATGGGGAAGGCTGTGGATGACATAGAAATGGGCAGGAAGACAGTGTGGGGTGATATGAGGGCTGGTGCTGATCATTATGAAGGGCAACTCATAAGTGACCGTATAAATGTTAAGGAGGGTGAATTAGGAGAACTGTCTCCAGATATTAGAACTGCAGTTGATGACACTGGTGACCATGCTGGTATACATCCCAGGCGATCTAGTTGGGGTAGAAAAAGTGGTAGCTGGGAAATGTCACCCCAAGATCTTTCTTCGGCAGCTAGAGTGGGGGAACCAAATCGAGCTGTTGGGAGTAGCAGCAGCAGCAGCTTGACAACTGAGAACTGCCAGACATAACTGATGTTGTGATATTGAATGTAGGATATGGAAAAGGGTTTCATTGCTAAGGTTCCTCTACTTCCTCCTTCAACCATTGGCATTATAGGACACTTGTTTTTGGCAGGGTGTTCGAAAGTGCGGTTTGACCCTTGTGCTTTGGCAAAGAACTGGTGTGATGTATCTTGTATGAGAGTGAGCTTTTTCAGTTTTGTTTTTGCATTTGTGGAATTAGTTAGTTTCTAATTGTATTGACCTTGTGGATTCATTTTAGTGTTTTATAGTGCTCATTTCACTTCTCTGTAGTTTGATGCGTGTTGCTGATTCCTAAGTAGGGTTGCCATCTAAGTAGGGTTGACATCGGGTCAGGTTCGCTTGCTCTGAATCTGATTCGATTTCATGTATTATTAAACTCGAACCCAACATTACTCAAAGTTTTTTTTGTTTTTTCATATCCGAACCTGATTCCGATACAATCCAACCTGAAATTAATAAAATATTATTTTTTAAATATAAAATATTATTTTTTAAATATAAATATTTAAAAATATCATTATTTAAATATATATAAATAATTAATTAAAAAATAATTTTTTATATAATATTAGGTTGAGTTGAGTTTGTTTAAAATTCAAATCTAATCTGATCTCGATTATTTTTTAATTTTATTTAATTCAATTCGAAATTTAAATTTTAAAAAAAAAAATCTACTTCATAAGGTTGGGTCGGATCGAAATCCGTCGGAGACGGATTGATTGCCGACCCTATTCCTAAGTTGCCAATGACCGATGGGCTGTCACTGTATCAAGCAAATTGGGTGAACAAGCAGAGTGGTCAGGTCAGGCAAGTATTGAGTTCGGCTTCCTTCAAACCTCAACAACATGTAATTAATAAGTAGGAGATGGATTCAAATTTACCGCAGGAATTCTATTTCGTTTGTGTAAATAAATACCATACGAGTAATTAGAAACATGTAAGTCGAAGTTACTAAATCTGACTTCAAAAAGACCAGTCAAATTGAACTGCCAAGTTTCAATTATAACATTGCCTGGTCATGTAAAACGTCCGACATGCGAATTAAAGGCTCCTAAATGTCACAGGGCATGAATGGTCTAGTCCAAGTGAGGTTCATGAACAGCAAGCTTCAAATCTGTCCTATACTCGTGAAACCTTAAAACTTGGATGACTTAAAAACAGTTCTTCTGTACTGCCAATTACAAAAATCTGTTTCAAATCACAAACACAATCCTCATTAATGACATTATGCTAACAAGAAACTGAATTAATGGGGACCTGGCTAGACTGCTTTAGGGTCAGCATAAATGCCAATTAATGCATCTTAGATCAGCTTTATTTTTTACATAATACCATTGATTTACTATAAAAACCCACAAATATGTCACATAAATAAGACAGTGAAGACAAAGCAGCCAGTTCCATCGCAATTCAATCTAGAAATCAAATTTAAAGAGGAAACTCCCAGTCAACAAAAGCCTGCAGCAACATCAAGGTAGAGTTATTTTGAGATAAATCTCATCTCAAGAGTCAAAACTTTCAATGTTCTGTTACAATCAGAGAACCAGTGAAGGGTTCCGTAATTTGACTTTACATATAGTAGGCTGTGTTGGGAAAGCTCCGAGTTAAAAACTGTCATGCAATACTATTTTCCTATCTATTGGGTAATTTTTTTTTATTTACTTAGAAAACTGCTAGGCTGTATAGTAATAGACTAGTTGTAATTAAAACTCAAGACTACCGCTTTCAGCTCAGCCTCAGCATGAAATGATTTCTCTTTTTTTAACAAATTTCACTTGACTCAGTCACCTTTCCATTTGTTCTTGACAGATTATATTACTGTCCGATGCTTCTATCCTGAGAGATAAAACTCCTATACTAATGTTGGAGGGATAAATCAGGTGAAGTGAGTGGAGTTCCTTGACTCTTGGTTTTTAGTACTTGAGGTCATTTAGCTTCATTTTCTTTTATCAGGTCAGTTTCTCTTTGGCCTTTAAAAGTTCGTTTAACTTTCTAGGTTGATGGGAATGATATGGATTTTCATCTGGATTTAATTGCTTTTATATCGGATGGTTTCCTTTCATTATGGCAGACATGTTCAAGAATCAACTGCAGGAACTTGCGCAAAGAAGCTGTTTTAACCTCCCTTCTTATGCCTGCAATAGAGAAGGACCCGATCATGCACCAAGATTTAAAGCGTCTGTGAACTTCAATGGTGAGATCTTTGAAAGCCCCAGCTACTGCCCTACGCTGAGACAGGCTGAGCACGCTGCTGCAGAAGTAGCTCTCAATATCCTGTCTGCAAGGGGTCCTTCAAGGTCTCTCACTGCAAGAGTTCTTGTAAGTTCCTTCAGATATAACAAGTCTTCCATATTTATTAGCTTTTATTCAATAGTTTTCTTGATGGTAGACGAGATTAAGCACAGGCTTTTATCTTTTGTTAGATGTTAGATTTATCTCATCTTTTTTTTCCTTGCTTTTGTAATGCAATGAAGGATGAGACTGGAATTTACAAGAACCTCCTTCAGGAAACTGCTCATAGAGCTGGGCTTAACCTCCCCGTGTACACCACCGTAAGATCAGGTCCTGGTCATGTCCCAATCTTCACTTGCACCGTGGAGCTTGCCTGTATGAATTTCACGGGTGAGCCTGCCAAAACAAAGAAGCAAGCTGAGAAGAATGCTGCAATTGCAGCCTGGTCTGCCTTGAAAAGAAGTAAACTTCGATTCCTCATTTTAGATTATTATCGTATATTAATATTTGTACATTAGCGCATGATTATTGTACATATTATGTACAGTGCCAAACTTGGATTCATTGACAAATAAAGAAGACGACAATCGGGAGGATCAGGATCAGGCAGTTGTGTCAAGAGTCCTCTCAAGTTTCAAGCCAAAAGATGACAACAAACAACTTAGGAGGAAGGACTATAACCAAGCAAAAAGAAGAGTGGGCAGGGCTAACAGGGACATTGGCTCTTCATCTTCTTCCACCTCTGGTAACAATCTACTCCAACAACAGTGGAGGCTTATGGATCTCTTAATGGAATCTGCCTTGGATGTTTCGACACAAAAACAAAACAGCTTTCTATCTTTCCTTCCTCCACCCCCACCTAGAATAGCTTCAAAGATCTTACCACCAACTTCATCTAGAGACAGTCTATTTAACTATTCATCTAACAGACGCATTCCAATAAAAATTAGGGGTAAATCAGAAGTGAAACTGCCTCCTCCACTGGAAGATCATTTGGATGAGGAAGAATGGCTTGCTGTCAAACAAGATGTCATCAACAAGACCATTGAAAAGGAAGGTTCAAGTTCTAGCAATTTAGTTTCAAATAGTAATGTCTATGGAGCAAGTACAAGTAGTACTTCTATATACAGGCCAGTTCCAATATCCAGTACTGGGAAACTCAATACTTGCATGGTTGACGGTGCAACAAGAACTGAAGCAAGCCAGATTATCAGAAGGCTTTTTGGATCTTCAAATCCATCGCAAATGACACCAACTTCTGTAAAGGCACCTACAATGGCCCGGCACATTTACACTGGAGGGTTTAATCCACATAGGATTGCCCCAGCAGTTAAAATCAGATCAGTGATCCCAGTTTGTGCAGCTCCACCACCAACAAACAGACCCCAGGAAACAACCTCATCACAACTGAAAGAACCCTCATCAACAAGCCCAAATACTAATGCTTCTAGTTCGACTGAGGTCTCATCAGCTAGCTCAGTACGGTTCAGCAAGTCACAGCGAAACTCGACCAACTCAACTCTGAGTTGATGAATCTACAATTAAGGAAGTAAAGCCAATGAGTTTATCTTTATGATATCAAGTTATCACCCCCTTATTAGCATTTCTTGCATGTTTTGATATCTTGGGTTGTCCACTAGATATGCTTTTTGGTCTTTGTAAAACCATTGTTTTTTTTTTTTTTCTTTTCTTGTTTTTCTGGATGGCTTTTGCCTCATGGATTCTATTTTGTAAAAGATCATGAATTATAAATTTTCACCTTTGGGATTTATTAAACTAAATCACTGCAGAGAGAGAGAGAGAGAGCATTAAATGGGATCTGGGGGAGTGGGTTGCAGGGGAGAGAGACAGAGACAGAGAGAGATGGGGTTAACAATGAAAGGCACACAGAGTCCTAGAGGACGAACAGACAATAGCAGCGATAAACGCAAGCAATTAAGTTACCCTCTCAGCAAATATTTAATACCCATGGCTTCACCATTAATGCACCCTTCCTCATCTTCCTTCCCTCTCATTTATTATCACCTTCTCATCTTAATGTCTTTCAGCGCATTTTTTTTTCTTTTCTAGTTTATTCATCTATCCGTTTGTTTCTGTTTCTTACTTTTTCATCTCTGGAGTGAGTTTTTTTTTTCAACCCTGAAAACCACCGGACTTACAGGAAAGGTAACCATATAGCATAGATATGAGAAAGGGAAAGCTGAGAATTTTTATTCTATTTAACTTTTTCCCAATGTTTTGAACTCTAAGGTCACCGTTATGCTATGGGGCACAGTGGGCAATACATGCACGAACAGTAGGTTAGTTAGGGTCCTAAAGTTTTTGCTTCTCGTATGTACGGGAACTTTAGCTCTATTAATTTTATTTTAAAAATTTTAAAATATATTTAAAATTTAAAAAATATAATTTGATTTGATTTAATTTTTATCAATTTTTTATTTTTTAATTTGAATCTGATTCGAATCTAATATATATATTTAATACTAAAACTTAATTTGAATCGAATAAAAAATTTGATCCAAACCAGATCAAATATACAATTTCAAATTAATTTTTGAATTTATCAAATTTTTTCTCACCCTAACTTTAGGTTTCAGCAAATCTAAATCGTGAAGTTAAAGGACCATAGTGAACTGGTGGCCTGGTGGACTTGATGGATACTAACAACATAAGGCAGGATGGAAGTTTCCATTAGCATCACTGGTGTTTAGACGGTCTGATAATTGAGATGTTTGGGGCTTTGGGCATGGGCAGTGAATTTTGTACCAATATACTTCTTCCTAGTAATCGAACATGCTGATCTTGAAAGCAATACTCAAGGAGTTTCAAATTGTCAGCCGCATTGGCATTTGAGTAAAACAAGTGAGGTTTATGTTGCCAAAAATAGATAAACAAGTGAGGTTTGAATTGAGAAATCTCAAGGTATTGTGAATAGAATAGGTGATTGTCCATGAAAATATAGAGATGATACTAATAGAATGGAGAACTGGACTACCTCTCAAGGGCTTGGCACCTATACAGAGGGATCGACTTCTACACTTCTATGTTCCCATTATTGGGCCTGTCATACCAAATCCCCAGATGCAATGCTCATATCTCCAACAAACTTGATCCAAATAATTCCACCGCCCCCTAACACGTCTTCAAATCAACACGATATATAATTGAGAAAAATATATATATACATGGCCGCCACATCTCAACAAAACTTCTTCCAAAGTTAGGGTCATATCCCCCAATCTTGACAGGTAAGTCTGCCCTGGAAACACATCATACAAACAACCAACGCAGAGAACCTTATCCAATGCTTGCTGCTGGCTTGGCTGCCACCCCATCGTTGACTTATTCTAATCAATAATCATACGTCCAGAGCGCGTGCAATGAGTTGTCAAAATCACCTGGCAAAGTTCCTTATCGACAGCGTTGACAACGTCTCAATTCTCGCCGCTTCAACAAATGAAGCTTCTAAAGAAAATTATTTGACTGTAAAATAAAAAAGAACAAATTTCCAACGAAACTTCTCATGCACCCGGGAGTACCAGATAAACCACCGTTAAGTTTAACGGAATAAGCTGACTTGTCAACCGGTAACTTGAGAATGAAGTTATAAGGGAGAATATCCTGAGGCATATTTTGCAGAATTGGAGGGTATTCCTCCTTAAATACACCCTTCTTCTCTAAATCCTCGCAACAATCCTCAAAATCCCTCGTCTGTCCAATTCTCACCCTCTGTTTTAGTTTTTATAACAATGGCTCTTAAAGCTTTTCATGTCTCCGACGTCCCAAACCTCGACCAAGTCCCACAAAGCGCTTCTTTCTCTCTCTACTCCACCCGTTTCTCCAAAGGTACGTTCAAATTTAAGATTACATGATCAAGATTATCATCTGGGTTGTTCTTTGTTTTGCTGTTGATGAATATATGTATGTACGAACTATGAACCGTCTGATGATGAGAACTTTCTTTGTTTGGGTGTAGGGTTGGAGTTGAACAGGGCAGCGTCGTTTAGGATACCAAAGTTTTTGGTAATAGGGCATCGAGGGCATGGCATGAACCTTTTACAAAGCTCTGATTCAAGAATGAAAGCCATTAAAGAAAACTCTATCCTCTCCTTCAACTCTGCTGCTAAATTTCCCATTGATTTTATTGAATTTGACGTTCAGGTAACAATTCAAATGCTTATGATAATTTTGCGTTGTTGTCGTCGTCGTCGTCTTTAAATGAACCGAAATCTTAGAAGTTAGATAAAAAATATGAGACCACGTGGTTTTGTCGTTAGCGGTCGTGCACTCACCACGTACGACAAGGTTTTTTGTCTCTGTCTAATGTAGGTGGGCCGGGGGGTGGGTCTTTTTCTTCTCCACGTGCCTACAAGCGCGTTTACGAAAGGTTTTACTAGCTTTATTTATCTTTTTCTTTTTGAAAAACAAAAATTAAAACCCTGAGTCTGTGTTGCCTTAATCAGTTAATTGGAGTAATAGTTTTATTTTATTTTATTTTTTTTCTGTTGGTAGGATGTAGTTTTGCTTTTCAAGTGAAAGATTACTGATGGTGTTTTTTTTCTGGGTTTTTTTAATAAAACAAAAAAAAGATTTTGTTTTTATGAAATTAAAAAACGAGTGTGGTGGTGATGAAAAAATGGCAATGAGCCAATCACAGGAAAGTAAAGAAAGCCATTGTGGTTTTTTGTAGGTGACAAAAGATGACTGCCCTGTCATTTTCCATGACGATTTTATCCTCTCTGAAGAAAATGTATGTTCACTTTTCTTATCTTCTACTCTTTATATATATATATATATATATATATATATATATCTGTGAATGTGTATATATATATATATATATATTCCTTTATAAAATGTGTAGTAATTACCAAGGTTAATTTTTATTTACAGTGTTTCTGAAATTTAATTTGGTATTCCAGGGTACAGTGTTTGAGAAGAGAGTCGCAGAGTTGTGTTTAGCAGAATTTCTTCGCTATGGACCCCAGAGAGAAGCAGGGAAAGATGGGAAATGTTTGTTGAGGAAAACAAAAGATGGGAAAATTGTTAAGTGGAATGTTGAAATTGATGATTCACTTTGTACACTGGAAGAAGCTTTCCATAAAGTTGAGCCTTCTTTAGGTTTCAATATTGAGTTGAAATTTGATGACAATATTGTTTATCAGCAAGACCATCTCACCCATGTTCTACAAGTCATTTTGCAGGTACATATTTAAGGATGAGATTCACATATAGTTTTTCTTTTTCCTTTTTAGGGAATGGTAAAGAATTTTGTTCTTAATTGCTGTGAATTTTGTGACAGGTGGTGTTTGAGTTTGCTAAAGATAGGCCCATAATCTTCTCTAGCTTTCAGCCTGATGCAGCTCAACTTGTTAGGAAGTTGCAGAACAACTATCCTGTAAGGACTCTAGCAACATTCTTAATGCAACGTACAATATGATCTGTGTCTACTTTTAGGCTATTTTAATTAATGTTTTATCTGTGGAAAATCAACAGGTTTTCTTCTTAACAAATGGTGGGACCGAACTTTGCTATGATATTAGGAGGAATTCCCTGGAGGAGGCCATAAAGGTCTGCTTGGAAGGAGGTTTACAAGGGATTGTTTCAGAGACCAAAGGAGTGTTCAGAAACCCAGGAGCAGTGCCTAAGATCAAGGAGTCTAAGCTCTCTCTCCTGACATACGGCAAACTCAAGTAAGTTCCTAAACTGCAATATGTTTAGTAAATCATCATCCTTCCAGCAGCCTGGAAGGTTTGACCTTGTTAGGCCATCATAAAGTTCTGATATGCTTTTAGACTGTTTCAAAAGTTTTCTCACAGTCAAATCTTGCATTTCTTCTCCAATCTGTTCATACTCTAAAGCTGGACAGGCTACTTTTAATGCTTGGAATGTTCCATCTAACTTTGAATTTTGCTTTTTACTGCAGCAATGTGCCTGAGGCTGTTTACATGCAACATTTAATGGGAATTGATGGAGTGATAGTTGATTTTCTTCAAGAGATCTCACAGGCAGTGGCTGACATGATTAAGCCTGCCAAAGCAGTTAATGCAGAGGAGGGTTTAAGTGAAGGGAATGGGGAGACCGAGGCAAAATCAAAGCTTCAGTTCTCACAGCAGGAGCTCTCATTTCTCTTGAAGCTAATTCCAGAGTTGATACAACACTAACTCTTGCCTCTAACACTATAGTTTTGCCAATTGTTTCCTTCTGGGCCGTAACCCAATAACACGTTTGTAGATAGATTGTTATTTTTAAGGTGGAAAATCTTTCATACTATCATTTTCATTCCCCGAACCATTGGTGTCTATCACTTGGCCGCATATTTGATGCATAGCAAAATTTAGTAGTGAAAAAAAAAAAGAAGAAAAATGTCTCTTTTTCTATTTTTTTCTGTTAGATACTATCATGCAAATGGAAAGAGGGTATACGAAGAAAAGACTAATTATCTATCATAATTTCAGTTCAGTGATTTATCTTAAGCTAGTCTGGCAGTGTTTGAAACAATGGATTTGAATCTGTAAGCACCCACAATATACAATCTCAAAGGAATGTTGAATAAGCCTTCATTCTTAAAAAGAAACAAATAAATAATAAGAGCTAATGCAAATCATATACATATATGTGTAATGATGCAGAGAAAAGATAAAGCTAAAACTAAAGCTAAAATTCTTTCTAGAATCGCAAGAAACTGAAAAAGAAAAGGCATGGAAACAAGAAACGTGAGGCTGGCGTGGCGAAGTTTTTGAATAACCAAAATCTAGGAATTGATTCTTCATAGGCAGGTGCTTCATCTTTTGCCGCATATTTTGAGGAATAGCAAAATTTTGTAGGGATACGAATATCAGTTCAGTGATTTATCTTCGCTAGTCTGGCAGTGTTTCTGCATTGTCATTTATCACTATGAAAATTACATATTTGAAACAATGGATTTGATTCTGTAAGCACCCACAATATACAATCTCAAAAAGACATAAATAAATAATAAGAGCTAATGCAAACCATATATGTGTAATGATGCAGAGAAAAGATAAAGCTAAAGCTAAAATTTTTTCTAGAATAGCAAGAAACTGAAAAAGAAAAGGCATGGAAACAAGAAAAGTGAGGCTGGCGTGGCAAAGTTTTTGTTGTGACTAATGGAATAACCAAATCTAGGAATTGATTCTTCATAGGCAGTTGCTTCATCTTTTGTATGCTTTGACAAAGCTTTTGGTTGCTGTCGGCTGACTGTTCGACATCTGGAGTATATTGGACATTTACATGTTTTTCTGGCCAACCTCCAATTCTTTTTTCCGACATATATAGTTAACACATGATCTGCATCGATGTTAGCAAAGTTACTGTCTATGCACAATGATGAAAATTAATTAAAATTCTATCTCAAAAAAGTTTAACCATTTACTCGTAGTTGGAGTGAAAACACACGTCAAAATCATGTATAATTAGAGCGTAATTGAAATTACAAAGTTATGCAACTGAAATAGACAATAACACAAATTTGATATATTTCTCTTTCTCTGTGTGTATGTGCCAAGAAAAAAAAAACCAAGAGCATTATCAATATCTTATTTTCTGTGATGGCAATTGACATGCATGCTTGCTCGTGATTATAAAATACTTTCATTGAGCAAATCTGTTAGGATTGGCTTATATGGGTTTGGGCTTCCCTGTTGGGTTAATCCCATCTTATCTAAAGCATCCAAATTTGAATGAATTGGAAAGAGCCGGGAAGCTTGATAACCTGCCTTTTAACTTTTCAAAATTTGCCTTCATTTCCATCCCAATTTTCATTGGGGACAAGGCATGAAGGATTGCTTGAGTTTACTTTTTAATCTATCTTTCAATTAGTAATATGAAATTGTAGTATATTTTACAGAAATATATAAGTGGTCCAATACAGATCCTAGCAAATCAAGTAATCACTCCGACCTTATGTAATTATTTTTTAGCCCTTCATAATATGGCTATATATGTATTTTTTTCACGAGAGTTTGGCTTGGGTATGAATAGAATAATAAAAAGCCTGATTTCCCTCCTTTCATAAAGCTAGGTGGACTGAAAATCCAGCTCCAAGTTTAGGGTTTCAGTAGTTCTATATTTTCTCTCAAATTTACAAAGAGGGACTAGACCTCTAGCTAGGCTAAGTTATTAAGCTTAGGTTGATGTTTAAAATTACCCACTACTGCTGCTGCTAGCAAGTAGATATATAGCAGTAACCTGTACTAAATAAGTAGGCCAATTTTACAGTAGAAGTGATGCATGCATGCATGTTCCATGTATTGAATTCCCCTTTGTTTTTATGGCTATAACTTTCACTTGTCGCTTTTGTTGTTCGTCTCAACTATGGAGATTATTGAGATTTGGCTTTAGCTAGCTAGGGTTGCATGATAGCAATAATATATATGTAAGATAAGGGGAAATGATTTTACACGTAAACTATATATCACTGTATATCACCTCTCCTCCCTCTTTTTCTTTCCTCCCTACCAGCCAACCTACTTTATTGTTGGCATTCACACATTTCCATTTCAGCATGATTCTTTTTTAAAGTAAATGTTATGATTCATGATACGACAGTTAGATTAGTTTGATAAAATTAAAAATAATAATAATTATTACTATAATTATAATTAAAAAATTTTAATAAAAAATTTTATTAAAATTAATATTTAAATTCAACTAATTATCATATTACATTAAAAATGCGGTGGAATTCAAATCTAATTTAAATACAATTAATTATAGGAGGGAAACGTAATAGGACTAGTATGAAAGAAATGAAAAATTAATGATTAATAATTTGTGGAAAAAAACAATGCATCTTTGTGATTACAACAATCATAGAAATCAATGATATGTTGGGGAAGACACCGACCAAAAGGATCTTTCAAAGATATGATCGAACAGCTGGCGACTAAAGCAAATGATAAATTTAGTAAGGGAAATGTTTCTCAGGAGAATAAAAGAAGAATGGGAAGATTATACTGACAATGTACCCAATCTCTTGGCGAAATTGTCAACTTCAAGGCTGGCTATAGGAGAGAAAAAGTCTCTTCCCCTCCACAATTCTGACCAATCTCATTAATTGCACACTCAAATATTCATCTTCAAAACATTTGTCTCTTTGAAACAAATCAAAGTCAGTGCGTTCAAACACGCCTCTAGAGGTGTTTTGTTCTTCAAAAGTTCCACATTTCGATGTGGGAGAAAAAAACCAAGGGTTTGTATTACTTGAAACGAAAATATATGGGATTATTTTATGGTGGGTTTTGATCCATCGTCAAAATGTCATTGTCGTGGTTGATTTAGCCTTCGTTAGATGGACGATTAGCGCAATTGAGGCGCGATTATCTTTCCTTTTTTTGTTCAAATCATACGTTTGGATATAGCTGGTGAAAGTGAGATTGACTTTAATGATATTGAAAATAGTGATAGAAATAAAATTAATTATTGTAACAATAAAATTAAATATTATAATGATAAGATTATAATTAATTATAAAATATATATATTTAGATGTAAAAGTAATAATAATAGTAAAGCGAAAAATAAAAATAAAAATATTAGAAAATAAATTATATTAATAAAAAATTTAAATTATTTAATATTTATAAAATTAATTAAAAATTAATTAATTTATTATTTAAAAAATAAAACTTATTTATTATAAAAAATTAATAAATTTATTTTATAATTTTTAAATAAAAACAAAGAATAAATTATAAGGATATTTTTGTTTTTGTAATATAAAATAAAAGAAAAAAAATTGAACACCAATGCATTTTTTCAACTGAAGCTAAATCTTCCAGTGAAGAAAAATAGATCAACGTGACACAACTTTAACTTCCAAACAAATGTTAAACATTAGTGAACACGAATTTTGTTGGCAACTGCACCTTATTAGAGGTACAGTTAAAACCAAACAGAGCCTTATTGCTCCGGTCAGTAACTGGAGATGAAAGTTCCAGTGAAAAAAAGTCCATTTTCACCGCAGCCCGCAATCTCGTTTAGCCCATAATCCTTCATCTTTATCTCTTTTTCGTCTTGTTATAATTCCTTTTTTTATTTTAATTTAATTTAAAATTTTTAAAATAATAACTTTATTGATTTAATATAAAAAATTAATTTTATTTATATAATAAATAAACTAAATTATATAATATTCATTGAATAAAAATTTTAAATTTTAAATATTATAAATAATATTATAATATATAAAAATAATTTATAAATATATTTTTAAAATAAAATTTTTAATAATTTTTTATTTTCATCTCATAATTATTATTTTTATATTAAAATATATATAATCAATTTTCTTTTAACCGTTATTTTTAAACTCATTAAAACATTTTCATCTTCCGTTCAAATAAACCTTTAGGCATTGATTTGACATTTTGGACTGAATCTAACCATCCCAATGATGCATAAAACAAAGTATCCAAAAGTCAAATGAAGCGTACGAAAGGTAGGAAATGAGAGGCATTTTCTTTTTTAGTACGAAAGGTACGTAGAAAACGAGAGGCTTTTTTCTTTTTTTATTCTTTCGTGCCTGTTGCTTCGTCATTTGTGTTCTTCATGAGGATGAATTGACTACTATTGTTTGAAAATAATTGTCGTTTTGGGTTGGAACTCTTATTGTGAAATGTCAAATTTGGGTTTGCTTAACGTTCATGAATTTCCACTAAACAAATATAAGTGAATTAGTAATCAAGTTTTGTCTTTTAATGAATGATTTTCATTCATGCTTTCACATGTTTTTGAATACTTGACTTGAATTCAACATCCTACAATGAAGCAAAATAGCACTCAAGTAATATAACTAAAAGAATATATAAAACCTTTTCATGGATGTGCATTTCATGGCATGAATATTTGTATGACATGTTATATGAAGTTTCTCATTAATATTGCAAGAATAAAAGAAGGTTGGTAATTTCTATCTATGCTAAACTGGATTTTTTCACCCTAAAATCAGTCTTCTACCTAACTTGAGGTAGGTAAAACGGTCAATTAATTAGTATTTTAGTAATTTCCATTAATTTTAACCCAATTTTTCTCTTTTTTTTTTTTTTTTTTTTATTTTGATTCTTTCCAGAATTGTATATGTGAAAAATACTGGGGAGTGGGAATGGGAGCTGTAAATGACGGAAAAGTCTAAAGATAAATGATAATATTCCACACAAAAAATATATATAAGCAACAAAGTTATGAAACAAATCTAGTAGTCGTAGGGAATAAAAACTCGTCAAACAGGTAACCAAAACAAAATCTAACGACAAAATCTTTATCTCGTCAACCTTGAAGAATTGGGACACAAGAAGGCCCCACTTCGCTTTGGTTGAATTGGTAACGATAAATTCTTTCAAACTTGGCATAATAACCATGAATAAGATTAATTGAATGTTGATTTACACAGTCATCATTTTTATTAATCTTATTAATGTTATCCTCTGTCATGTTTCTGTCATATTGAGTTTATGGTATTTCAAACGAACGATTGAGATGCAACGAAAACTGATTTGGACCCTTGGATCTTTTGGAGGGTCCTTGAAATGAGGGGCTCCACTTCAAAGAAAGCACCAATGTGACACACGTGGGGCTCACTGTAGAAAGAGGCGGAAGGGCGGTGGGCTCCATGACCAAAAACAGGAAAAGGCTAAGAAGTTTTCTTACACGTTTGTGTTAGAAACGACCCGTCGACATAAAGCAATGGGTTTTTTAGCAAGGAGCTCCGAGTAGGAACAAGAGGAGTTTGTTTGAACTTTGGCAATTGGATTTTTTCTTCTCTTGTATATAAGCAGCTTCCCTACAATCCATTAAACACAAAAGTCTTCCTTTTGTTAGTTGCCTTTTTTTCTCTCTCTCTCTTTGCACGTTCCAATCCCACATGGGTTACTTTGCTTGATTTAAATTAGCTAAGCTGGCTCAAGTTTGGTTGGTTGATATATCAGAGAAGTAGAACATACAAATTTAAGCTAGCTGGTTG